CGTACACTCGGCGATGATGTTTACTTGCGAGGAAAAACTTGATAAGAAATGGCATTCAAATAGAAAGGTGAGTCTATCACTAAACGTGTGTACAGAAAACTTTCGTTTGGTTGGTAATGCTTATTACTTTAGTTTTGTACATATCCACTTCAATGCAAGCTGAATTAAATGCCTTTCAATCAGAGCTAGAAAAATGTGCTCAGAAAGCACCATAAACAAAGAACTACAGTTATACATGATTTGTTGATTGGAATAGGTTACTCACAGAGTCTTATGAATAAGCATATATCAACAATTACGGGGTGCGATCTCGCCTTTTACCTTCAGGAGAGACTATGAGTATCCAAGCTAGCAACTCTAATCTTTGTATCGAAAAGACTTGCGATGACGTTATCTACTCTATGGTTAGAAAACGTGCAGTAGGCGATTAAACTGGGTTTTTTTTACATCAACCTTTGTTTCTCTTGATCTCTTTCTCATCTGATATTCACTACCTAAGTATTTGAACTGATTATCCATACACATTTTATCACACGATTTTTTCAAGTTTCAACATACTTCCTCTGCTGAAGTTATTAATGTTATTGTTTTAATCACTACAGATGACGATGTCATCTTACTATCAGTGCATACTTTCACATAAATAATTTTATCATACAATTATCATTTCATGGCATGAATTGACAAGATAAATAGCGGTCAAAAAGCTAGAATCTAAAATACTTCCATACTAGTCGTGTTGACATCATTCAAGTCAATGGATTTTTATTTTAAAGCCTTTTCTTAATTATTTATCTAATCATAAAACTTACTTTAGGTTTTCAATGTTTCTACCCTTCGCCCGCCCCCCCCCCCCACTCAATCATCTGTTTTAACTCAACAAATAAAAATGTGACTTACAGAGTTCAATTTTCCTACTTTAATTAAAAAAAAACTTTATATACCTACTCAGGATAGTGAAACTGTGACATGAAAATTCTAACAATTTACTCCATTAACTCAATTAACTATTCACTTTTTATGTTAATTTAAATGTGACTTAATAATTTCTGTTTCTTATTCATATAGAGTAAGAAGGTAATTTTAAAATAAAATTCTTAAGATAAAGCTTTCTTTTAGTATTTTGTAAAGAACAATTAGTAGTAAACTATGAATATTCACTTAATTGTTAGTGAATTGTATGATTTATGACAATGAAGGTTGATTATTAGTTAAATAGAAATGTTTTAATGCGTTGTATAATTGCATAAAAAAACTAGATTTAGGCATAAATTAAAAAAGAACACACACAACAACAAAAAGAACGGAATGAGGTTATCACAATACTTTATTTAAGGATACTTTACTAAGCCATCTCTACTTGTATCAAGGTTAATGATGATTCTTGTTTAACCAGTTATAAAACAAGGTTTAATTTCACTATTTGACTTATTACTACTAATTTTCAAATATTATTTTATTAAAGACTCGTCTAGAATATGCAAAAACACAAGGCAAAACTTATTTCAAGATAACAGTTTCTTTATGATTGAATGTATAATGCTCCATCAAACGGTATGCAAACAAACAAATTATTATTTACTATCAATGATGAGTAGCGATTCAATGCATCATTTAATAATAACGTAATAATCTGACATGTGTAGAAAATTTCTATTCAATAAACAAATGAAATCGGAACAGTCTGAGTGATAGAACTTACTAAAGCTAAGACTTCATTCTGTGATAACCATGTGGCACAAGTTTCAACTTATACTAATTACCTAGTTTTATGTTCTAATTGACTTTTTAAACTCAGTCTTTCCAGATTACATCATTGTCAAAGTAAACATTTCAGGAACGTACGTATTCACAAAGGGTTTACTCTCCTAGACTAATATATGGACAAATAAAAGTGATTCACTTTTACCTCAAATATTAGTGATTTAAAAGTGGAAGTTGATCCAATTCTTATTACATTTTATCAAATACCAACAGTTTTAAACAACTAGTGTGCTTTATAGTAATTGAAAATATGTTTTTTCGAAGTATTTTGAGATTTTCCTTTGTCTCTTGATCAAAAACGTTTGCATAATACAGCTATAACTATGGATTTCTCCTTTTTTGCTTAAGAAAAAGCATTTTGGATTTAGCAATCTTACTTTCAATATAAATTGATTGAAGGGCTTTTTAAACTTAATAAAATTAGGTTACATGTTCATGTCGACACACACATTGAAAGAATAGAGAGAAGAGTACATGTTTGCATTTCCCAGAACGTTACCAAGAATCTGAGAGGCACAATGGCTCTAAGCAGTGCAATAGCTCAGCGTTTACTTGACAATGGGAATGTTATTGGCATTCCACAAGCCTTTCAAATTATTAGGAGACAGAAAAACGCAGCATCTCTTCAGTTTGGCGAAGTAACAGCAATAAAAAACTCAAAACCGATTAATATATCCAGAAGGAGACGGTAATAAAGTTATTACTACCTTGGTAAATTATTTCTCTTATTATCACTATTTTATTAGTGTTTATTTTGTTATGTGATCTTCCCTTAGCTGATTCTTACTTTATGTACATCAAAACCATCTCTTCACTCTTACGTTTTCATTCACTAAATTCTCTTAACTTATCTAAACTCTTCAAATGTTGTTCAATTATTACGTAACCCATCTTATTAGTTTTTCAATTCCAGGAATCACACAATCTATCTTATCTGCCTCCGGACCTCATTTAATTAATGCACCACTCACTCCCTATACATATATATATACTTCAATGTTACCTTTCAATACATATTTGGTTATAAGCATCTAATGCGAAACCACGAAATACAATGAATTCATACTATTCTACCTCAACTGTTCTGGCATTATTCAAATATTAGGTTAATTTAGGCGCATCTTGAAGCCCACTGCTAGCCATCATTTATCTCTGCTTATCCTAGTCGGCCGACTATGCTGAAATTCTGAATTGAATGTTTTGGTACCATTAAATAAGCGACTGTTCTACATTTACTATTATCTTGGTGTGAAAATTGAATTTGGTGAAGTCATATTGATTGTTTATTTTTAAGGTAAATTTTGATTGAGTGAATATAACTTTTTACGTTGGTTTCATTTTATCTCATAATTATTTTGAACCTAATTTTATAGCAATTCTGTTATCCAATGATCATGATGTGTATACTTTAGGAATATTTTACTAACTCACTTATTGATGTATACGTATCCCCGACTTGTTCATGTAGATTGACATTGTCAAATTGTAAGAAAAACATCTGATAGTAGTTAGATTGTAATGAACAGAAGACGAGTGAGGGACAACCGAATACATCTGACACAAAATTACAGGACTTGTTAATAAAATCTAACAATCATAAAGTAAATGCTTAATTTGCAAAATGTCCATCAATTGTCTCAAAATGACTCAGATTTCATTGTTCTTACATTTTCATACAAATTGTATTCTGTTTCCATTCTTTACTGTTCGATCCTGTTGTCTCTCTGCTGCCAGACCTTCTGTTCACGACTAACATCATATACTACTTATGTCAATATAAGTAGCACACACCACAAGATGATGCCTAAAGTGCTCCTATTTTGAAGATTGTTACGATGTATGCATATAACCTTAGTTTCTAACCAAAGTTGACGTTTTTTTAAAACAAGCACAATATTCTGAAACTTTATAGTTTTACAAATCGCCTAACCCGATTAATAGTGATCAAGAGAATAAGATCATTATTAGTTTAATCTAATAAACACGAGTTGTTTTGTATTGTTATAACAAACTTTTGAATGATAAATAAATCTTCAATGAATATTACTATTATTATATAAAGATTTATTATACTGAATTTGTTTTGAGAGTATATTAACACATTGTTTGTTGAATGCACACCAAGCTGACATATACTTACAAATATAAGGAAGTTGGAAATAATATTTGATTAAACGTATTCCTCTTATGATAACTTTATTTTAGAACTAATGGTGTTTGTCTCTAATCCACTGAGTGACTTTTATAAATTAGTCAAAATAAAAGAGACAGTTACAAAAAAATTATTCATCAAATAAGAATGTTCAATATTGTGATTTTTCCTTTTTCCGGTATAGAGTTCCACAAAACTTAGTAAAACAGTAACTGATTTCTTGACATTCGTTACTAGTTCTCCATGCGTATTATTTTCTCTTCATGATTATCGTTTTGTTCATGGATATTTTGATTTTTCTATCCATTTTAATAACAACACAAAAAATCTCATTTATCAAATTATTATTATTATTATTATTACTAATACGATTATAATCATTGCCATATTAGATGAATACCATTAATTGAATGATATGAAGCAAACAATGAAAGATAAACTTTCATAATAAAATAATTAGCTTACTTTAATAAATTGAAAACAATAAACAGAAATACTCATTCATGATTTTCAAACAAAAATAAATTGTAATGATGAATTGGGGATTATCGAGATTTCAATTAGGGAAATATTCTCATTGAATATAATTAATTCTTTTTTCTATCCAATTTCATTTATTTATTTATTTATTTTTGGAAAGAAAATGTTATCAATTTAGAAAACTAAAATAAACTGGATCAACTGAGAGATCACCATTGTGCCAGGACTAACACAGGCCATCAAGCCTCCTGTCATTTCCAAGCTGAAACTGATCATTTTAATCAATGAACGTATATAATGAAAAAAAAGAGTTGGATAAAGAAAATTTACAAAGAAAAAGAACAAGTAAACTTCCACAGAAACTACTATTATTCAACAATACAATTTCTAAGATTTCTCTATTGTAAGTGAACAAAAAACAAACATTAGTTATAGTAAAATGATATAAATTGTCAGTGTAGTGTCCTATTTTTTCTTTATAGTACAAATAAGCTATACATCATAAGTTTTGCAATAGGAATACTGTGTTGTGATGTCGGTAAATATGTCAGTAACTGTGTAAATTGATTAGTTAACGGTAGGGAATTATCCTTGGTGTTTTCTTTTAGAAATTTCTTTCACATTCCATTAAAATATTTAATTCATTTAAATCAGTTTGTTTTTCTTTTCTGAAATTGTTTTCATGATCATTGACTAAAGGAGATCTGACATGTTCTCTTTTATATCTTCTATTTCGTAAAATATCTTCAATCACTTTTATACGTTTAGGGTTTTGCAAATCTTTTATCTGAAATCCTAGTCCTTGTTGCACTGACGATGAAGTATTCTCATCCGACGATAAGCATGGAGTATATTTCAAATAATTTTTACCACAATGATCATAATCAAATATAATTTCAGAGTTTGTTATATTCTCTGCTATAATTTGTTTTTCACATATTGTGTCTAATCGTGTTTCTAAATCAAGTATAGCACTGAGTAGTTTAGCAACAACTTGTAGACCTGGAGTTGATGGATTTGTAAGCATTCCACTCGTTGTTAACTTATTGCTCATAATATTATTAGACTGATTATCATTGATGTTCTTGTGATTGTTGACAGCAGAGATATGTACTCCATTGATAGCGTCCTCCATGTCCGTGTCAAGTGCAGCACCAACCATCTCGGTCACATGATAAATCTGTTCTAAAAGCTGTTGATGACTAAAAACAATAATGTAAAATAGAACACCAAAGGGAGATATTTAATGCATATATTTTTACTTCGCCTTAGGTCGAAGAATTAGTAGCATTACTAGTTGGTTCATATTTCATCAGTATACATTGTTTAATGTCATTAAATATTGATAATTAGATAAGGAGGGAACTACCTTATACACATAAAAGTACGTGACATTTTATTTATTTGAAAACTACAATACATTAAAATATTAGAAACTTGAAAAATAATAAGATTTAACTAAAATTTATCCATGCCTTCACCAACACGAACCAGTGAAAATTCAGAAACCCTTACATCTCTTTATTTAAACTCTTATTTGATAAATCTTTCTCGTACTTAGAAATGTCTGAATAAAGATGTGGAGTATGTTCCGATGAAAAACATTCAATAAGTAATTATTTTTGATTGTCATCAAGAGTTCTGGTACAAAATATTATAATACACCTTGAAATTTCAGAAACCTAAAGCATATTGAACACAATATTTATTATTAAAATATGTTAAAAGAACGTCTAGTTACAGTTGAAACAAGTAAACAATTATTGTTTTGTGATTTTCATTTTTACGCTTATTAATTTGCTCACTGACGAGTAACTTATGTTGGTGCTACGTGCTTAAATATTTTGTACATAATTGTTAGCTTGAATCATCAAATTTATTCACATACTCAATTAACTGCCTAGTGATTTTTTGAAATTTGCTTGATTAAGATTTGGAAATTATAGTACTAGCTATATTAATCACTTCACTTTATTGTTAAATCGAATGATTCAACACCATATTTCTAAACAACAGTATTCAATCACATTTATAAACATAACACATACTATTTGTAGAAACAAGTTTTGTTAAAATTATCTGGATAGTTCTCACATTCCATTGAGCAGTAATCGTTCATTTTCCTTAAAATGGTTGGGTACTTCACTTATGTCAGTGCTACGTTTAGTAAGTTAGCTAAGCATAGTTTACAAATGTTGTATGGCTTTTGATCGATTTTAAAATGAATTTTTCAAAACCCTTGAGAGATACCAATGTAATTCTTAACACTCTTATTGAATAAGAGTACATCTATGGTGATGCAACTACTTATTTTTAGTATGTTTTAAAGAGATGAAATAAAAAATGACTAACCTGAGTTTTAATAATTCTCTCATATGTTTAAAACTTATTTTACTTTCATTATATTCCAAGTGTTGATCATTAAATAATTGTCCATTGTTTTGAATTTTATTTAATGAACTACACGAATGGGATAATCTGTTGTTAATTATTGAACGACGATTCTTATCACGACTATCTTGATTAGTGAAACACTTCTTTGAATAACTTTTAAAGCCGTCGAAATTTTCCAGATTACCTATGTGTGAATGTGATGATGATGATGATGTATTATAGTTCCCCTTCTCGATAAATGATAGCAATTTTTCAATGACAAGATTTAAATTGATAAACACTTTTCTAAAAATGAAATTTCATGTCATGAAATATTATTAGATAAAGCAAAATGTAAATATTATCTCTATTGAAACTAAACTACCAGTGTTACTTCCTCTCTTTTTTAATTCATATCAAGATGAATGATCATGTATACAGGAGTTAATAATCACAAACACAATAATACTTTGTATTTTATTAGAGTTTTGTGAAGGAAAAAATGTTCTACAACAAAGCTGTTTAAATATCTCCTTGTAAATTACTTCTGATTTTCACAATATGAAAAAAATCTCAAAATATCACATGGTATTTGAAGTAAAAAATACCATCGTTGTAATATCCGGTGCTTATTATTAACCTCTGAGATTATTTGTTGTATCTGAAGGATAGACACCTCATAGATATTGCTAGAAGCCTGATATGATTTAATATTTGATGTGAAAAATACGCATGAATACATTTGAGACGTTTACCGTAAATTTTATACCTTAGTATCCAAAAACACTACGTCTAAGTGTTCATCCATGATTGTTCTGTATATATCAGTATTCATACAAAATAAAGTGGTAAATAAAACATTGACTATTTCAATTATGTATTAACGATAAAGATGTAGAACATTTAATCAAATACCTTGTTTCATCTGAAAAATATTGTAGATAATCACGCGGAACCCAACTTTCATAAACTTGCTTCCATAGCAGGCGCAATTCTTCCGAATAAAAACGATCAATATCATTTAGTAAAGATTTAATATCAATCGTCTCAACCTCTGAATTATTAGATTTATTTCTGTTTAGTAATTCTTTATGCCAAAACAAACGTTCTTCACTTATCAAGTGATTCAATAACTTCATCAGACTTTCCCACATGACGGACGTATACGTTGAATAATTGATAATTTTTGGTAATGATTGATGGGATGGTGATTTGAGAAACTCAAGGGAGTTTTTGAAAGGGCTGTCAAAGTAAACAATAAAGACTACGAAATCATACGTAGAATATACGTCAACAATGTTAATTGTTTTGATATAAAAACATAGATATTTATGGTTATTGTCAATTTAATGGATTTCAAGTAACCATCAACGAAAACAATAAACGCAGAAAAGTATGAGGATAAATTTCATCCCTATCTATTATTATCAGAGGAATCATTAAAATCCAAGAAGCGCTTAATAATTATTTGAAAGAATCACGAGTCAAGTGCACTCTTGGCCTCATATAGAATCAGTTTCAGTCACGCGGGATAACATTTAATGAGTAAGTCTAGATCTAAAGGCCAATATTTTTGACTGAATTCAACTACCATTATAGTCAAATCAGTATCCAGTGCCATAAATGTGTGAAGACTTTTCTTTTGTATTATCGGAGCTGCAGCAAGAAAGAATTTTCAGATTTCAGAAAATCCAGTTCAAAAATAAATCGAAATAGTCATCACCTATGTTATTGTATGGGAATCGAGTTACATGAAAAGCATACAAAATTTGAACTCAGGTTTTAAAATGTCGTGTTTTCTGGTTTATAGTGACCAAAATCTTCAATTGTTACGTTGTGATGAAAATTGCTCGCAGAATAAACATGTTTGAAGAATATGATGAATGTATTATATTTCGTCGGTTTCTCTTCACTTACAGATAGTTCCCATTTAAACATTAAAATTAAAACATGAATTTTAGCGAAGGGATCTCTTTTCAACGAATTTATTATCAAGCTGTACAATCGTATATATATGAAAATTTTGTTTTTGTAAAAGTACTAATTCCGTGAGGAAATGTGAACACAGTTAATAAAAAGGTTATAATACTAGATTACGTAATATGAATAATAACAATAACAATAGATTTAGTGAATATAATAAGATGATCAATTTTCTCGAAAGCTGTATCGAAAATAATGCTTATCCTAAACGTTTCTGGAAGGCACTAAGGCGAAACCATATTCATCCCAATGCAAAAACACTCAAACGTCATGCACTCAATTATATCGATGCTATCAAATCTCGAAAAGTCGAACTAGATCGCAACATATCTCTAAGAAGTCACGCCTTGTTTGAATTGTCGTTAGATGAACGCAAACAATTTGAGGACTATGTTACTAATGTTACGAAAAAACAGTCACAAAAAGCCAAACGTAAACACTTGGAAACATTGCAACACGTAGACGTGATTGATAAGTTTCCAGAACATCCAGAAAAGTATGTATTTGATCATTCTTCTATTAAACTTTCACCAGTCCAAATACAGGCCTTATCATTGGGTCCGAAGTTCTGTAACAGCACCTCTAAAACTAGTAGACGTCATACACAAATACAATTCGAAAACCTATCAAATCAAACTCATGATCTTGTGCCAACATCCCCAGAAAATTTTCAGCACTTTAAATCCACATTACTGGACTGCAGTCTTGGTTACGTTTATGCACAATGTAGTAGGAATAACCTATTAACTAGGAACCACTTGAATCAGCTAATACTCCTGAAAAGAAATAAGTATTTAATCTTAAGTAAACCTGACAAAGGAGCTGGTGTAGTACTACTTGACCGCCATGGATATTTGGATAAAATGAAATTAATTCTAGAGGATGGTACTAAATTCTCCAAACTTAAAGAAGTTGATAAAACATTGGAAATCGAAAAACAGCTAACAGATATTGTTAAAATTCTTAAGAATAAGGGGATAATAACCCAAGATTTATATAATCACATACGTCCTATGGGTTCAATCATCCCGCGCTTATATGGACTACCGAAAGTACATAAGCCGGGTTTACCGTTACGACCTATTTTGGATATGTCGGATTCACCATACCACAGAATCGCCAAATGGCTAGCGGAAATATTGGAACCGGTTAGAAGACAAGTATCTAAATTTTCTATTCATGATACTTTCCAATTTATTGATCGTATTAAGGACGTTAATACTTCCGGAAAACACATGTTATCGCTTGACGTTAACTCTTTGTTCACTAGCGTACGTTTAACCGAAACGACATGTTATATATGTGAGTATATTGATTCCAACAACATAGATCTAGGTTTGCCGACTGAACACTTGAAAGAACTATTGTTACGCTGTACTTTTAATGTCCAGTTTAGTTTCAATAATGAAATATATAGACAGAGGGATGGGATCGCAATGGGGTCTCCATTGGGTTCGATTTTAGCAGATTGTTTCATGGCAAAACTAGAAAACGACCAACTAAGCTCAATGATCAATCAATTTCACCTATACATCAGATATATGGACGACACGTTTATCGTTTATGACAATAATATTGATTTAGATGGTATTCTACACACCTTCAACTTATGCCACCCTTCTATAGACTTCACGTTAGGAAGGAAACGAGACCAATCAATTCCTTTTCTCGATGTACGTCTGATAAGAAGGAGTAATGGTTCTTTAAAAAGGTTCATCTTTAGAAAACAAACACGGAATGGACAGTTAGCCAACTTCTATAGCTGGGTCCCGTTAAGTAGAAACCTCATCCACTCTTTATGTTATCGAATACATCAGTTATGCAGTAAGGAATGCATTAACGAAGAACTCGAATTCCTCAAGAAAACCCTGGTGGAAAACGGTTACCCAGAACGGTTCATAGAAAAGAATATTAATAAAAGTAGTTGTGACAAGAAACCTAGTTGTTCCGTTACGAAGAAAAACCTTTATATAAATTTGGAATTTAAAGGTGATCGAACATCAGACGTGATCAAAAATCGTCTAACAGCAACTATTAGAAGAACATTTAATGCAGCTAAATTGCGAATAACCTTCACGAGTAGGAACTTGTTTTCTGTGTCCATAAAAGACAAGCTTCCGCGTCTGATCGCCTTTATGTGCATCTACCAGTTCACCTGCTCTTGTGGAGCAAGGTACATTGGCCGTAGCCAGCGCTCGCTTTCAACTCGGATACGGGAACACATTCCGGCTTGGTTCTATAGGTGGGAAAGGAAAGCAGTTAGGAGTTCTATACTTGAACACCTAATCGACTGTAACCATTCCACTGATCCACAAATTGACTTTAAGATTGTTTATATGATTCGTCCAAATCTACCCAGATTTCTTCGCATCCAACTTTTAAAAATAGCCGAAGCTCTTACCATCCAGGAGCTTAAACCAGAACTATGCGTACAAAAGAAGTACGTCTTATCGTTACCTTGGCCTTAATTATTTTGATTATCCTTGCACAGATGGATGAACATGTGCATGCATTTGACGGAAATAATTTTGCATCTTCACAATATTTATGCTTGCATACAACTTGAGTACTCGCAATCTTCTTCCCATTACGCATATGAGTCAATTTCTCTTTACGAACAATATTGTCTAAAGTTGAAATACAATGTTGAAATAGAAAAATATGGAAGTGGAAGTAAAATAACACATTTCTTATTCAGAAAAAGATTAGAAGAGAAAAGTATTTCACTGCAATTACTTTTTCATAAAGGTTTTACAGTAGTATATATATATATATATATATATATATATATATATATATATATTCGAGAGTGAAGACAAAGCGGGTGCGAGTCAAGTGATGATGAATCAGTTAACTGCAAAGAATAACAGAACATTTAAAAGACGAGGTGGATAAAATGACTAGTATTCAAAGATAAATGAATGCATTGGAATAGATAATTATAGACTTAGTAGGTCGATTCATAGCCGTAGATGTGAAAGTGTTTAAAAATTGCATCTCTGGAGTGAAAATAATCTTTTTTTACTTCACATTTATTGCTTTTATACTAACTCAAATGTAGAGGCATGTATATAAAAAACGGTGACCGTATGCCATTCTGCCCACCGAGAAAATAATTAGTTGACGAATGATAAACCATACCGTGATGGTAAATTCAAACTGATTAAATTCATATCAAAATTATCATGTTTTTCTTGAATATATCAGTTAAATGATAAGCAGACAATTATCCTCACTCTGTATACTCTTCCCCGATAATGAAAGGATTTTTTATTGTTAGTTCAAGATCATTCAGTAAAACTTGACGTGATATTCTCATCAAATAAGTTACTATGATTACAAACTTCGTCGCCAAATATACAATTAAGAATTAAAAATAAAATTCGCAAGAGAATTACTTTCAAATCACTTTTAAACGGGAATACTTGTAAAATGTTATTGAAGGATTTACTGAATTTCCCAGATCTATTGGATCATAAAACATTTGCGGTAATCAATAATCATTTCGTTTGGCAACTGGATAATTTTTATTACATGACTAAATACTTTTTAAAATTAGTATCTACATAAACTTGTCGCTAACTATAAAGTATTAAAACAAGGAATTCATCAGGTCATTTGAAAGTTTATAACACATTTGCTAGTTTTTTGTATTCATCAGTTAAATCTTAATCTTGCTGACTTGCAGAGATTTATAAGACAAAATTTGTGGTATATTGTAAAACATGCTCAAATTTAATAAGTTTAAACTTTAACAAAAATTAAATTCTCCATCAGATGATAATTAAGAAAAGGATTATCCGTTGTATAACAATCAATTTGAGTAAGAAATCTTAGTGACAGTATAGCGATACATCTGACTAGTTTATAAATTAACGGCCTTAAAAACTTTATATCATCGTCTTTAACTTTTCTTATTGTCTTGTGATTCACTTTATCATAACAGATATTTTATCTAAAAAGTTGGTTTTGAATATACGTTTATCAACTACAGTATAAACCTATGAATTTCAGGTTTACATGTATCCATTGGCAGCATTTCAATAACTTTCAATATTTATAATACCTCCTTCAGTAGAAGGTAACGCTAACAGTTCTCAACTTTTCACTAGTATTATCCTCACTTGTCAGTTATACATTATGTTGCGACAAAAATAAAGCATATTGATTCATCAATTACCAAGAATCCTAATTAGTGGTCGGAAAAACTTCAGTAAGTTATGTTATTGGAGAGATAACTTAGGATAAATATTAATTATTACCGATGGTAACGTAACTCTAGACGGGGCTTTAATAAGTAATTAGTAACAATGAAAATTAGCTTGCTAATTTGAGTGACATACCGTACATGAACGAAAAGAATATAAAAATGAGATAAAAAAAAAGAATTGGACAAAATTTCTAAAATACACAATTCAAGTTTAAAAATCTTTCTTCTTAAATTTACGTTCCAACTGTTTAATGATATTTTTGTAATTCGATATAAGAAGATGGCTTGTTTTATCAGCTACATTTCTAGTACTCAAATTAGTTTCAATAGACCATATCAGGTTAGGCATGAAGTAATTCTTAAAACATTCACAACTAAACCACATTTTCTTATTAACTATTAATTTTTTTTAAAACATTAGGTATGGTATCCATCAACAGTTCAGTAGTTTATGCATGAAAAGTTTTCATCTTATCATAAGATTTTTTTTAAACATCAAGCATTTTTAAAATGTATGTGTAATCTTATTTTTTCAAACCATGAATGTTTTAGATGGATTCACCATAGTCCAGTCACACCAGAAACTCAGAAGTTACGTGCCAATGACACTGGACAACTGTTATGCAAATTATGAAAAGTAGATAACTTTTAAAAAAAAATGCAAAAAATGGTTTATTGACTGAAATACTCGGTACTAAATATGAGGCTTTAAGGTGCAGTGTTTGGTTCTATGTTTGTGTCTTATAGATGAATAATTTAGTGATCACCTAAATCAAGAAGAAATCGTTATTCTATGATTTTTTTAATGGTTTAAAATGAAAACTATATTCAAGTTACAAATATTCTTCACAAACTCTATTAAGGTATAGAGTTTAGGAACAACAACGATGAGTTACCAGTCAGTTGTTGTAAATAAGTTAAAATATAGGCTAATGATAAATTCCTGTTAGTAATTTCGTTTTGTTTATAACTAAAAAATATAAAGACACTTATGTTGAAACTTTTCAGGTGTATTATTTTAATACTGTATGATAAGAATGCAAATGATATATTATTCAGTACACTTAATACATTCACAGAGGCTAAACTATAATAAAATAATCAAAAACAAACGTTTAGGTGTGATTATTTTAATGCAAGCAATTGAAGTTAACCTAAAATCTTATACAAAATCCCATTATTCCAGCACTGTCATCTACTAACAGATGACATTTGATTTCCATAGTTCGATAGAAGTCATTTAATGGCAAATGAAACTTAAGCAGATTTTTTGTTTCAATAAAAAATGCCACGAAGCAATATGTCATATATATATAGGCATTTTGAGTTTCTTGACTCATTTGCAAATAATATTTTCTTAATAAGTACCTATAGACAGTTTACAAAATGACCAGACTAATCTTGATTTCCTTTTCATTATTAAAGCTTAATCATTTACAATATTGAAAAACTAAATGCATCAAATAATCAAGTTTTAAAGTTTGCTAAAACAAACTATAGTCCTAAATAACTGATATCGAAGCTTCTCTTAGCTAAATTACCAAGTACAGTGCATAAATCCAGCAACAAAACTGATTTCCAATCATTTCATAGAAAAGTTACACAATGATGATACTAAAAATTCATTTGACACATTATGGAAACAAGACATTATTTATTCAGTTACAAACGCCTATTCGTTATTCAAAATAATAAATTAATGGAAAAAAAACAATTGGGTGAAACTATAATTTATGGACGACCTTTGAGTGACGCTAAAGTGACCATGAGAATGTCCACCTAATAACTAGGACTAAATCAAAGTTATAAAGCAGTGTGAGGAATTATAATTATGATTTACAGTTGATTGTTAGGATTAGGAATTGGATTTAAGGTTTTCATCATGAACTGATATTAGCTATAATGACAAAACTCTATTTATCCGAATGAATTAGTAAATTTTACGCCAAAATCCGAGACCTGTTTTGTTATACGTGATTAGTTCGTTCATAAATTTTAGTCTGGCTAACAACTGTATTAGTGAACATATAAATGAAGAAATATAATCACCGTTTTATAAAGTATCCGAGAAATAATTTCCCTTCAATACTCCATTACATTTTTTCTCTATATTCACAACCTACTAAACTGTCAAGCCGTAAGTAAAATAATTAATACGATAATAGAAGTTCAGTTATGACATGAAATAATCGTTCCTAAAACATTTCACTATACTTAAAAAATAGTTCTTTTTCAAAAATAGTACAATTTATTCGACTGAACTAGCGGGATATTATAGATGAAATTCTATTAATCTTAAATAAGAGATATGAAAACACAAACTGCATATTATCTCATTTGGTAGGTTATGAAGTAGAGTTTACTTTATACAGCTATGGAATCAGTTCATTGAGTTTAAGAGTTATGAAAGCCAAGATTTCATACATGAAATAACTCATCACTAACTCAGTGCTTTTTATCACTAAATCACAAAAGTTTATTATGATTCTAGACTTTCCAAGTCACTGAACATCTTTCATTTCTGTCCTCACGAGTATTTCATGACTGTTCATAAATCTTGAACAAATTTCGCTTTTAGGTATGTAACAAACAAGAGATTCATTGGTAAGCTTAGTAACAATATACTGAATTAGATTGTTTTTTGTGATGATATAATTCAGTTTACTCTAAAGATCTCACTTATACATACTGGAACTATGACTTCTATACACAACATCAAATTATTAGATTGAAGGCCTCATGTCAGCTTGGTTTTTACCAGAAAATCAGTTTAATTTAATGTATATTTAATAGGTATATAATACTATAAAACCAGACTAATCTTTGATGAGCACAAATATGCCTCACTAGAAGGAAATATTCTTCATCTCAACGAACACATATGTATATGGTTTAGTGACATTCTTAAGTGTGGTATGAAACTTCTAATTCAACATTATTGATGCATTTTAAAGATGTTTGAAAGTTAACTTAAAATTATGTGCATACACTTGAAGTGTTTATTAAGGTTTTAATGCTTTTAAAAATTATTACAAATTTATTTAATGTCGCAATGAAGATGAATCAATCAAGCACGAAGAAATTAAATGTAAACTGATTAATTCTTTAATTAAGAAAACTACTCAAATCTAAGGAATTCGTTTGAATGAAATTCTATCAAATATTATTTTAAATTCGATTCAGACATTCTCAAATCTAAGAAACATGGTTTATCACTAGTTATTTCATATATGAATAATCTATTTTTTCATCAGAACAATGAGGTTGTATGAAATCAACTTGACCAAAATGTCTCATTCTATTGATTTGTTGATCTGTTCTTGCACAGCTGCAATTCAGTTTCCTTTATTTGATTTTAACTGAATTTTTATATTTGGTACCTGATTTTTCGCTGGATACGGTAAACTTAGCTTTGAACTGTGAACTTTTACGTAATCACAAAAACGGTTGTATTTATGTTACAATCTCTGATATATCATAGCTTTCTTATTTCGTTAGCTTTTGCATAAAATTAAAGCCGGTTCAGTCACTCATTATCAAGGTATTTCCTGTATATATTCATAAATTTACGCTCATTTCATGATAATAGTCTAGTTCTGAATTATTGTTTTATAGATCCTAACAAACGAAACTAAAGTGTCTTTGATGAACTGCTTGAAGTTTAACTTCTTCACCTACCTATATACAGTACAAACTTGTTTACATTTTGTCTTTAAAAGAAACTTAAATATTAAGGTGCTGATTTGAACTTTTTTTATAACTTAATCTTCCTGGAATATTGAACCCTTAAAAAACGATTGGTGTATTATATTTTGAAATTAGTTTGCTGAGGTACATCCAAGCTAACATTTAAATGTCTCTTTTTTTTGCTTAAAAAGGAGGCTAAATTTACATTAGCCCCTATCAAATCGTACTTATTTTTATTTAATATCCATAGCTCAGTGAGTTATAGTATTTGCACCTAATATTCATATTTTACCCATATCTTTATTAGTCTAGTTTGATCTATTATTTGAAGAGATTAATTCGTGCTCAAATTGTTTCCAATCTTATTAACTTTGCAAAAATCAGTGTTCTTATTTGTCAAAGTATTTTTTGAGTTTTTTGACAAAATGTTTTCAACCGGATCTGTTGTGAGATAGTAACTCACTAAAGACAGTGGTGAATGTGTCGCTCAATTTCGTCGATTAGTTGAAGTTAGACATTAACACCGTTGGATACCAATTCAGTGGTCTAGAGGTTAAGCGTTCGCGCACAAAACTGATAGGTCCTGGGTTCAAATCTCTCGAGGCGGTATCGTGGATGCTCACTGCTAAGGAGTCCCACGGTAGGACAAAACGACCGTCCAGTGCTTCCAGGTTTTCCATGGTGGTCTAGCTTCAATTAACTCATGACTTTAATTATTAAATTTTATTTCTGTTTAATTTTCCATTTAACATCGACATAGAAAATATGTCGCAACATTTTCAACAAAAGGTAGTAAAAAATGAATAAATAAAACATACCATAAATTTGTTTTCCTGGTGATTTTGTATGTTTACCATTCAGAATGTATTCCAAATTTTCACCATTTATTTGGCTTATACCATATCCGAAATCCTTATATTGGTATTCCTCAAAATCCTATTATTAAATACGAAAGATTTCTGAGTATTCATTAATTTTATATGAAAACTCAAATTATAACGATATTAATTCGAGCAAATTTATTAGAATAAACAGCATAGAATTATTTTTATGTGTGATGTTTGCTCAGGTACAAGTCCTTAGCTTAGATTCACTTGCCGTTCATTACCTAAAATATCCTCTAAAAACTTTAATCTCATATTAAGCAGAACTATGAGATACTTATAATGATATTATCAGTACCTTTTCTGTAGTGTTTCCATAAAATAATTGAATGAAAGCATGCTGTATCCGGTATATTACCTTATTCCTCAGTATAATTCATTTATTCCCCCCCTCTCTCTCTTTCGTCTATATATTCAAGTTTAAAAAGTTGCCTATTCTATTCGGTATAAGAATTCAATTTGAAATAAGCATCTGACAAATGTACAACTAAACTCATATGATTGTCTAGTAACATTTGTAAAACCAACACACTAATTTCACGTTTATGACTTCTTAAATGCATTTAGTTAGCTGTAAAAATAAACGTGAATATTCTTATATGAAACTGTTTCTTCATTTGTAAAATTGATCATTTTAAGTTTTGATGACACCCGAATTACTAAGAAGTATACATCAAACAAAACAGTTTCTGTTCAGTATTTTTTCTTTAAAAGATCATTTATCCTAAATGAACAAAACGATAAACGCATAAATTAAATTCATTTGATCCTGTTTACATCAGTTGTTTCAAACTTCTATTGATTAAGTACCGGCTTATACAAATGAATCTAAATTATTATATTTTATTGAAAAGTAGGTAGGTAACTTATATCTATAACTAGGTTGGAAAGTATGCAAGAGGACTAAGAAATAAAACAGAAGATACAGCTCTTCAAGTTATTCAACAAAAAGTATCCTATAATGGCGAATGACAAAAATAACACGGATACTATGATAAAGTTTCGAATAAGAGGTGATGCAGGTATGTAAACCAGTAAATGGATGGTGAAAAACAGATGAAAGGTTGAGATGACCTTGGTGAATTGAAAGTTAAGTTTAATTCAAAGCCATGAAATCCTAAAATAATAAATGATGTTATCAGATTCGCAAATAAATTCAGCATATCTTTCAGAGATAATGAATTTAGTTAAAATTGTCTCCTTTGCAACTTGTAAGTTTATTTTCATTTGATTGAAATCACTGGCTTCTACAGCCTAAATACTTGAATTAGCTCGTTCGCTACTCAATTTCACAAGTTTTAAATCTTTCAAATTATGATTTTTATTCCTCAGTTTTGATTCATATGAAATTCAAACTTTAACCAAACACTTTTCGCAACGTATAGAATCAACGGCTTTTTTTTAACTTGAGTGCTTTAGCACAAGAAAACAGTTTGAATTAGCGTACAATGACTGCTTTGTAAAAATATACAAGTTTTTCAAAACGGTATGTCTGGTTTTGAAGAATATCTTGTAGGTAGTCCAATATTTAACATTTTACATATCGCCGAAGTGATGTCATCAATTCTAAAGTATACGTATAGAAATGAATGACTGGCTGTACTCATTTTTATTATACCATCACATATCCAGGTTAACATTCTTATTATTTTAGTTTGTTTTTAATCACTCACAGCCAGTCTTCTTTGTAGAATGTCAAATGACACTGTAAAATGTTTGAAAGCCGTAAGGTCAGCTATCGAATAAGTGAAAACTAATTTTCAAGGCACATTTAACTTACATTTTGTATACAAGTCCTGACTTCCCTGGGCCCCGCTTACTGAATATCAGTCCTCTAAAAAAACGCTTGGTCAGCAAAACTGGTTTTCATATAATGACACGATATCATGAACTCATTACGTTAACTATGTTCTCAAACTCTAACAATTCTCATCTCACGAAAATTGGTTTCATCTGCCACTCAAACACAACTCACAAACACTCAAGGCTCTCAAACATTTTCACTGGTTAGTTGGAAAGGATCGAGAAATTTAACTCCCTCTCTTTATATTTTGTAAATTATACACAAGTTTATGATGTAAAACATATGGTAAACTAGGAAAATTCTATGATCTGCTGAATAATCTGATTATTCTGATTATTAATTGCTATTCAACATTAACATAGAAAATGTAATGTATTTTAAATTGTGGATCATCGATGAGATAAATTTACGAGCTGGCAAACGGTGTTAGTTCTACCCGTTAGATTTAATCGTGTTAAGTATTTCTGTGAGGTATTTTGTAAAGATAGGAAAAACACTTGTTAGTGCAGTCAGATAAACAACTCAGTAGAAAGCGAATATATGTTTCTCTCATATAAATCTGTGCTTTCGGGGAATCAACCTATATGACTAGAGAACAATGTAATGATTATAACTATCATTACATTTAAATTGTTAAACTGATAAATAAAAATAGTAGTTTTGTAAGGACTCGGTTAGCTAAAGTCGTGTATGAGCCAATAAATTGTGCAAACTGAAAACTGACGTTTGTAGTGTATTCTACAGTTCACATTGGTCCAACATGCATTTTATGCTCACCACCATTTGAAAATCTGTAAAGATATGTGAATAAATCGTGTATTTTAAAGTGACTATGATTCAGTGACGTTGATGTGTAGAAGAGAATGTGAAAATTCATTCTTCATGAAATCTGAATGGTAGATTACTTTGTACACTTAGTATTGACTGGATTCCACAATTACATTTCTTAATTATTCAAAACATTTGTAAACCTATAGCCAGTTAGCATCTTTACATGGTGTTAGGCAGGTACAGAGTCACCAGCTTATTAAATTCCAACTGCTATGATTCTAAATTTTATTTTCAAAATGAATCAAACATAGGTTAAATTAAATTAGGTTAAGAATCGTCATATTAAAGCCAACTGTGGTACAACTCACGTTAAGGTCTTCATAATTATTCTTTGTGTAAAAATGCTTCACCTTTTTATGATTTAATGATTGGTTGTCACTTTTGAATTTCGCATACAAAACTGTATTTGAACTCGATTCAGCAATGTTCAGTGACTTTTCAAGTTCAGATTCCAGTTCGGTATATTCATCTGGAAGGAGGTATTGTTTGCACATTTTCCGTGACAATTGTTTCATGATGTGATTTAAATTTGAAGCCGATTTATCGTTATCATTAATTTGTGTATGGTTTGACTCGGAAAGCGTCAATTCTTCAGCTGAATTCACATTTGCAGATATAGAGTAATTATTAGTGTCACAGTACTGCCTTTCTTCTATGGAATTATTTCTTAATAAATCTTCGTGAATATTTTGGTTGATGGTAGGCAATATCTGAAAAGAAGTGAATTTGGTGATTACAGCTCACATAAATCTCTGTTTTATTCTGTGAAATAAAAAATCTAAAAATTTCATCGAAGCACAGTGTTTATCACATAAAAAGTGAAAAGATATTCCAAATTGGTTCAACGAGATTAGCTTTTGTCATGAACCCATAGTGGACGCTCAGGTTGTGGTGTGAGCTACTTATATTGACATAAGTAGTATATAACGTGCGTTAAAAGGATGTAATGTCTGGCAGCAGAAATGGAGAAGATCAAGAAAAGAAGAGCAAGAACACAATGGAATTTGTAAGAAATCGCATGAACAATGAAATGGAAGACAATGGATTAGTGTTGCAACTTGAACAGTACAGTTTGATATGATGCATTGATAATTTGCAAATTGACGATTGACTTTATGGTATTCAGATTTTGTTGAGATAGTCTGTAATTTTCGAGCTAAATACATTCGATTGTCCCAACCCGTGTTCTTGTTCACTACAAGGTCATCTGAGAGAACCATTTAAATGCACATTGTAGGTTGGTTATTTAAAAGAATGAGGTTTTTCTACATCATCCTGCCAATTCAAAAATGTTAGAAACGTACAAAAACTCAAGTTTGGTAAACCAATTTATTATTTCATGCAAAATCAAACAGTGCCTTTGTAAAATATGAAAATCATACATTAAATACTTCACTTGCATATCTACCTTGAGTTGTCCTTTACACACTCTATCATTTTACCAATCCGGTAGTAGTTCTGATTGCCTTTCTCTTCTATTTATTTCAATCTTCTGCTGGTAAACATTCCACTTTTATTTCCTGCTGCATACTTCTTATGTCTACCCGCATAAGTAGCTCACACCACACAGTAACTAGGTCAGATTTATGTCTCGAAACTTAATTGCAATCCATCGTAGACTTCAGTTCAAATAAAAATTACCCAAGTGATAGGAAATATAAACTTAGTATAAGTTTAATCTACGAGAAAAGTGTTTAACCTTTTTGTTTTAAATTTCAAATGATAGAGATATTTACTAATTTTCTACTTTATTATTCTGTTTTCTGAGATTTCAGGTGACTTATGCTTACTAACTCAGATGAATATATTGGATACTAACTATGCTCATAACATATTATTAGATAGAGTATTTTATTTTGTTCCTCAAAAAATGCCTTTATATAGTCGATGCTGTAGTAATGCACCACATCAGATTTTTGCGTACATTATGGGACTGAACATCTGAGTCTTAGGTGAAGGAATCATACGTACTCTAATTTACATCTAACATTGTATATAAGTGACAACATCAAAGAAAAAAGAATTTACAATCAATATCTAGCTAGCAATATTAATTTAAATATGCAGGCCGTGTAGAAATTCAATACAGTAGAAATGTATAGCGGAAAAGTGTGAAGGGAGAGATTAAACCTAGGTTTTCAGGCACACACTCACTGTCAGTACTAAGTATAGTCTTTTTTAGCACACATATAAACCCGCTTTGTTATAATTATCATGATGAAATCATGAATTATTACTTATTTACTTTTACTAATGAATCGCATCTTGAGATTAAATATCACTCATTTTTCATTACTATAATAAACTCAATCATTGCTATTGATTGAAATTCCCTTCGTATATAATAATCCAATGGAATCAAAGATTATTCTTGTCTTTGATAATCTTATTAATAGGAAGTACAAGAAAACAAAGTTTATAATTTATACAAATCACCCATCCTAGTCAAAATGTTTACTAGTTGGAATCCTGGTATTCAGACAGAAAAGTTCATTCCATTTCTAAAAACAAGGTTAATTCTATTAGTGACGATTAATTTTGAAAGCTATTTAGTCATAAATAACTATTAGGAACCATTTTAAGACAATGAATTGAACTAATTGCAAGAAACAATACATCAAGATAATGGACCTCCACGTAGTTTATGATTACAGCAGCTCAAATTTTGCAGATGAATGACAGCATGACAATGTACGGAGATAGCTAAGGACAAATATTTAACCCGAAAAGTGTTAAGATCAAGAAGCCGAGAAAATTAATGAATGCTGAAAATGTTATAGAAGTGTAGTTAAAAATTCAGTCCGTTAAATGCATGTTAAAATAAAGTCAAACGACGGTTTAGAACAAGGTTTATCAGGCTCATGATTAGAGGTTAGTGTAAAACAATAGTCAGTGGGAATAAAAAGGCACACGAATGTAACAAAGATAACGGGACAAGACAGTTTAGCTTTACCATTAAACCATCCAGTTTAAACAAGTCAACACTACAGAGAGTTTAACTAAGCTAAGATTAAACATACTCAACATATTAGTTTTAGTTTCACATAATTCACACTTTTTGCTATCCTGATTAGTCAAGTTTAATCTTAAACTGTTGGGATGATACAGAAATCGCTTGCAAAAGACAAGCAAGCATCAAGAAACACTAAGAAGTGTTTCGTCCAATCAGCGTTCATTTGGAGCTTTGACCAGAAATATCAAGGTAGCGGAACGTCACATGCGGAAGATCTTATTGTTTGGCTACTACAGTGCTACTATGTTTAGTAGCGTTCAAAAATATTCCAGCCAACCAAGGACATTTAGATATATTATAAAATCCTTTTATTTTCTGTCATAAAGTGAACCTTGGAGTAAAGTGTTTTCTCTCATACTTGCGTCTTCTCTCTGGTGTTAAAGCCGTTGTGTGGTTCTAGCGTTCGGGCCATCGGAATAGCTTTAAAAAAATATAGCGTTCAATCGACAAGACTTATCATAAACAATAATAAAACTTCAAATCAATCAACACCAAACAAATGTACTTTTATGATGATACTATTTCAAATGAACGCCAGCTAATATTTAGGTCTTCACATTTTACAATACTACAAATTTGTTATCATGAGGACCACTTTTAGGATATAATATGTCTGCATCGATTAGACCAATAAATTTAAAAGACTACTGTTTCAAATTTCGAAATTACTCTTAATTCAATTAAAATAATTAACGTTAAATATCATATCATCATTCAGATACGAACAATGAAATTTTGTGATCTGGTTTAATTTATACAAATCTGAGTAGATTGTAGATAACACCTACGAGCTGGCGACCTTTATTATTATTATTATTTTCAAAATAACTTATTATTAATTGAATCTATCTTTCAATAGGTTGGTAGAATATATTATTGTTAAACCATCTGTTTCTAAATAATAACCTATATTCATTGTATAAAAAGATATAACTTTATAAGAATGATAAAGTATGCGATCAAATAGATACTGCATAACAAACTTGAATGAATAGTTTTTAATTATCAACTTTTATACTCAATAGAATATGAACAAAGAGAAATATTTGAATTTACTGAGCTCTTGTAGAAGTTAGAGTACTCATAATCTACTAAAGACAATCATATTTCATTTGGATAAATACTTGATTTGATTACTGATAGCTAAAAACTGATTTAAAATTTAACTATAATCGCTATGAGTATGCTTTATTGCGTTAGTTCCGACTAGGTAATGATGACTTATCTCTTTTTGATTAATAAAAGGGTCTCAGTACAGTTGATTATGTTATTTTTAAAAGGAATAAATTATTTAACAGATATTTTCTATGCATTGGATTAGAAGTTGATGAAAAAATGTGGTAACGCTTTTACATACCTGGTAGATAAAAATCCTACCTGTAATCACAACAATTGATTTAAAGAAATATGATGCTCTAAATCGAATAGAAATTCCAAAGAAACCTTTTTCCGTACTAAAAGGTTAGTTACTACAAATACGTCTAATCTCTAGGATTATTTGTTTAAATGATATATTTGTAATGCACACATATGGTTTGAAAAGAACTTTGCTCGAGATTTTTCAGCAAAAATACTCGATAGCTCTCCCATCAAACGCAACATTTATTTCTTTTTAATTAATTTCCCATTATGGATCTGCATTAATGCATATATATATTTTACAATTATTGCGTGATCACTACCAACCAACTGGTGATTAGTTAGTAGACAGTGTTACAAATTCTGAGTGTTAGGTAAAATAATAGTAAACGATCAACGAAGTAATTTAAAACGGTAAGTGGACAGGCAGTTCTAATGTTCAATTATATTGATTCATAAATAAATCGAGACATTTTGCTGTCAAGTCAACATATACTTACTTGTTAAACAGTTATATATATATATATATATATATATATATATATATATATATATATATATATATATATATATATATATATATATATATATATATATCCATAGTTAGATAGATAAATATTAGTGTAGAGTCGGGAAGAAAAAATTTGTTGCTCTAATTGTTTGTTCTAAAACCAAGAAGAATATGACTTCAGACAAAATGGTCAAAATTAAGAAAGTTCCACTTAAGGAGTTTGGCTCATGTAGTAAATAACTGTTCAGTGATATTTGTCTGATTTGGTGGCTTATTTACTAGGATAATCAAAACATTTCCTCTCTAAAGAATTGAAAGTTCAAATCTCTTATATGAGATCAATAAACTCAATGAGGCAAATCAGTAGTTCAAAGTTGGAGATGAAAAATATAACTTTAATATTCAATCAACATTCTAGATCCATCAGTATACTACAGACTACCAATCACATTGTATCTTTATAAAAGTTCCCATTTTATGAAATAATTCAGCCTTAAAATGAAACCCACCTACTGATACTTAATCCCAAAAGATTTTCCAACAAACATATTTTATAGAAATTTAAAAAATAGAAAATAAAAAGAAATTCATTTTAGTTTTAATTTACCCATATTTTGAGTACATCTTCGATTTTACTGTCATAGTTACCATTATATAGATTCAGATGTTGAGTTAAAGGAAGTAATTTTGATGGTGAATTCTTGTTACTATTCATTTCCGTAACGATTTTGAAAGCTGATTACTTTTTCACTTGTTTGTTGTCTACATTTAAAAGAGAAACGATAAATACATTTTTCTAAAATAGTAATATCATTTTAGGAGGTTTACAATCAGGCTTCTTACTTTATAGTTGTTCTGGTAATGTATTTAAATTATCTTATCGGTTAAGTTTCCTCTACTGTATTATGTTATTTTAACATACGCTTATGTTATGACTAAATAATAAAGACTGTTTTGGGTTTCGTCATCACAGAAATATAAAGTAAGCGCTATGATGTGTATTATTTTCAAGTAGATATTTGGAAGTCAATATTACAAATTAGATTTTAAAAATTCCTATGAGGCTACCACATAACAAACCATATATATAGCATATTGACACCACGGTTGAAATAAGCATAATTCCATAAGTATAATAGCTATCCAAATTACTAATATGGATTTAATAATGACTATCTGATAAACGCAACATAACTAAAGTATCAGTTTAGTGGTTGTGGATCGAATCCCGCGAGCGGAATCGTGGATGCGCACTGCTGAGGAATCCCACAATAGGACGAAACGGCCGTCCAGTGCTTCCAGGTTTTCGATGGTGGTCTAACATCAATCGGTTAATGATCTTAATCAATAACTAAAGTAATTTACACAAAATCAGTTTTACGTTAACAGTTAACGAGTAAAACAGGAATCAGGTGCCTCCAAATGAGAAAAACTGTGATTGTTAAAGTTTTCGCTAAAAAAAAAGAATACTTAGAATGGTTATACAATTACTTGTATACAAGGTAGAGAATATCCATTTGAAATAGAGGGAATATTAAGTTTAACAATTCAAAGGTGATTGTTCATTTGAAATAATACACTTTCATGAAATTCTATGGTTTTCAGAAAATAAATTATTCATTATTTTTCCAGTTGGGTGTATTTATGGCAAAAAAATGAGAAAGAAACTAAACAACAAAATTCACTGTAAAGATAATGTTTCTACGGTATCTTGATGATTTATTTCAGCTTAGAATTAGGGTATGGTGACTTCATTATAAGTAATCAAATAAAACCTATGCCTTGGAAAAAATGAATAATGAATGACTAGCAAACTCAATGATATTTTGATGCTCAGTTTTATAATCTTAAAAACAAAATATTGAATTTTACAGTCGTTCAACATTGTTGATTAGCACGTCTTTTTATAATTTATAATTTATTTAATTGTGTATCAACATACAAATAATTATCAGAAGGGGTTTTGTAGAGATTTTAGTAATTTCAATAGTTTAAATAATTGATTATTTTTTTCAATACTTTTTCATTTAAAAGGAACTGTACATGTACTTTGGGGAAATAGGCTACACTATGCCAGGAAACTTCAGAAACTCTAATTTTTATTCAGTGGAATATCACAACCATATCATTATTTTGTTGCCTTGGTCGATAAGTATTCCAAGAAACAAAATACTTACCACAAATGACGAGTTATGAAACTAATCCGTTACGATTAGTAGTTTACTTCAAATAGTATCATAAGCACATTGAATGGACTATAATTATTTGCCCAACTACAGAAGAAAATAAGTTTTTTAAATTGTCTGAAAGTGATTTATTATTATTATTGTTATAATTCATTTCGATAGGACTTGGTTCTTATTAAACTACTGCAAAGATTCCAACTTCTCAGAGATTAAGTTAAGTAGTAAACTTTTATTAAGTTCTCCTCTTGGGGATATTAGTGACATCTACTTTTTGTCGATTAACCAAGTTATCATTGTAGGAATTTCAGAACTATGTTCAAGAACAAACAGGTGCTCAAGCACAGTAGTTCTTCACACTTCAACATTGAAATATTCATAGAATACTAACAGATAGATTTCTCAGATTAAATGTAAAAAAATTCATAAGAAGAGCTTACTATAATATTGAACAAAATTACCTACAATATCTACTTTTGAACAAAAAACTAGCTTAGTATGTCATATCAAAACAGTGACTGTATGGAAAGCATATAAATAGACATCATTGGCTTGTGAGAGATGAAAACAATATTGACAGTTAAATTTATTAAATGCAATAATAGAATGGTCATCTATAAATAAAAGTATATATAACATATAGGTATTTCACTATCTACCGTTTAGTCTATAAATAGCACTGTTGTCAAGTTGTATAACACTTAAAGCACACACTAGTTAACTCAATTACAAGAGAATCAAAAGTGGATTATAATAACCAGAAATATAATATTATTGTTCGTGCGTTTAAACAGTTTCGGTTTAGCTAAGATCATATTAAATATTACTTCTTACTAAAAATGCGTTGTCTGATACATAAAATTCGTTAAGTTGAATAAATTATTAACTGGATTACTTCTATGCATCCACTGTCTTAATGTGATGTGTACTATTCACAAAATTACTTTTGAGTAAGATATGTTGAGAAGTATCGTAGAAGTTGTTACAGTCGACATACGTAGAGAGGAGTTTCAGTACATCAATACCAGAGGAGAAGTCAGTTTAGAATTAGTCGGATGGTAGAATACAATGCAAGATGCAAATAAATGACTGAAGGTTAAGCATTTGCATTTTGCAGGTCGATAGTACAATCCAACATATGTACACGTAAAATTCTCTAGCACCTACAGTGTATCTCGTTGACCAAGGTTAATGAGTTAGTGTACACAGAAGATACAAAATGCTCTCATGTATTTGTGAACAATCAGATGTAAAAAATGCTGACAATATCGGTGGTACAGTGGCATTTGAATAAGCTATCAATATATGCATTGTTTTCACTTTATTGTTGTAAACAATATCAAGATTTTATCAAAGTATATGATCAGATGTGATGTAGGTAAATAAATTACAAGTAATTCAAACATATTTTCTAATACATAGAAATGTTATACGTAACACAGATTACTCCAAATTGTTTTGCCTTGACAACAGAACAAGTTACCTATTACGTTTTATTCTCAAATACACCACTAGTTGTAATTTTTCTTTGTCGTACATCAGAAAAATTTTGAAGTCATAATTAACTTGTAGTCTATTTAAAATTACGATGGAACCATAGAGCCGAAAATTTTTAACGAAAAGAGTCAATAACTTAAAATCAAGTAGATCAAAGAGAGTTCTTAATTTATTACACAAGTTATGAGCAAGGTCTCTTTCAGCCACGAAGCATTAGACAAACGAAGCACAGTAAATGAATTAAGTTCATTGCTGGTGAAATCCCGGAAAACTAGTTTCTTCTAAATACGTTACCAAAGTCAAGTCACTCTATCAATAATGCGTAAATGTATATTCTTTTCACCAAAGTCAGCTAACAGTGAGACTACAGTAAAATAAATTCAGCTATATGCTTTTATTTATTTATTTAATGGCTTTAAACTATAATGTTTTTTTTTAGTTATGAATTGATTTCCTACATTAGCTCATAAGATTAAATTTCATGATTTTCCATTGGACAAGTTTTTATCAACCTGGATGAAGTAGAAGTATCTTTGTAGCACTGAAACAACGATATGATAATCACTACTCAATTACTAGTAATAATAAACTGAACATTTCACTGTGTGACTTATCATTAATTAAATAATTAGAAATAATAAAGTAACCATGTAATTATTTATTGTCAACTTTACAAAAAAATAATTATAACTGGTCAACACCATAATAAAGACGGTTTCAATATGAACCACCAAGTTTATTCCAAGATACAATGATTAGTTTATTAAAATAATCAAGTTACCTATGCCAACACATAATGAATCTAACTAAGTAGATCACTTCAAAACTGAGTCAAACAGAATATTTACGTTATTATCAGCTTTTAAATGATGAAATATCGTTTAAAATATAATAAGAATTCGTTAAAATCAGTTTCTATAACAATAAAATAACTTAATCAATGTAACTAATACAGATTAGATACAGTCTTAATGGCATTATGTTAATTATATTATAATTTATATAAACCTACCTGTTTTACTTTCACTAAAAATAATAATGAAGAAAGGTTCGTTTTATTCTTCTAATTCGAATTTGCGAAATATCGATTTCGAATTTCAATGAACCAACTGTTTCAAAGTTTAATGTTTCTTCATATTATATTTGTTAGAAATTAAAAAAGTAGTCGTATGTTTTCGCGTTTCTCTTTTTTTTTAAAGATAAGAACCAATAAAGTACAAATATTCTTATTATTGGACATTTAATAACAATAACTGTCATACTTACAATTATAATGTCTAAAAATACAAAAAAAAAACCCACTTATGTCATTGTGCTTAAAACGGGGATACTTGTGTATCAGTACTTAGAGAATGCCGATTATATTGATAAAAATAAATTATCTATGTGAACAATTTTAAAATAACAGGTATAGTCATGTGAAAAACTCTGTGTAATGCACTTTTCATCATCTATCATATTCCCTATAATTTAAATAGGTCATTTTGTATAGGCTTGTTTAGATCTTTTCCAGAAAGACTTTTTAAACAAATTAGGATTGTTTTATAACCTCATGATTTATGGGATACTATTTAGTTTACAGAATGTTTTCAGGTGCATACCAGCAAAGCTGAAGAAATATCGACAATCTCAAAGAACTAATCAGTTGTGTTTATTCTTATGCTATGCAAATATTCAGTAGTAAAGAGTTTAGGTTCAAGATGTTTATTTTCATGAATAATAGTGAGGTTATTCTTGAGTTACTGCGAAAGACAATATTTTCCTTTTTACTTAAATCACAATACATAACAACCAGTCACTTATTACCTTCAGCTTCCCTATTGTTTTGTATTTGGTGTCTCATTCCGTGACTACAACTAACTTCATACTATGATTAACTGAGTTTAATTTTAACTATTTATGGGTAAAATATCTTCAGTAAAATAAATGGTTTTATAACGAATATTAATTATCGAGCGTATTCCTACTACTGTATTATTATTTATTTATTTAGCTACAGGTTCAAAATATTTGCATTCCATACCCGTAAGTTCAT